AGGTTTGTCATGCTCTTAAAATCAAGATCACATACACATCACAGATACCTGCTGCTCCTACACTGGGAGTACACAAAACATGCCTTCCATCTAGATCCAAAAAATATTTTACTCCTACACTAGGAGTGAACACAAAACATGCTTGATAGGTTTTTCATCCACCAAATAAATGCTCCAAGTTCTTGTTGCTATCTCTCAAAAAAATTTTGCAGAAAAGAGACATGGGGCTATGCAAAATTTATTCATAAAAAAGAAGAAAAAAAGAAGAGATAAAAATGGACAAGTGTCCGAGATATTTAAAACAATGGGTACTTAGATGTCTGCCTGAAAAAAAGAGAGAAGAGAAAGAGAGATGAATAAGATAGCCCCTGCTCTCTAGCAAATGTTTCCAAGTTTCAAAGGAGAGAGATGTTTTCAAGGAGTATAGTAGAATTAGGTTAGCCACCATATATATCCACCATATATCCACACACATGCACATCTTGATTTGATTGTATGACTCAACTCTCTTTGGATTCATTGTTTGACTTTACAATATATGTATTGCAAGTATGCTCTAGTTTTCTCCCTACACACAAACTCCACATAAGCTTTAGTTGTAGGAAGAGAAAAAAGGCAAAACATCTTTACTGTCTTTGGTGAGGATCCACAAATACCACATATATTGTGGGACTTGAGAGTGTCATACAATGAAATCTCTGAGTTTTATTTTGAAAACTTTTAAAAACTCCGGAACAATGGTGGAATAAAGAACTTGAGACATAGTGCTTGACTTGATCGTTCTATCTTTCAATTGCTCAAGACCCAAGTGAAGGTTAAGAAGCCCCATGGTTGAAGGTAATATGGATAAGTTTGAAAATCAGATTAGTTTATTCTAATCTAGAGGAGAATTTTTGATTGAACGCATGTGTACTTTTGAGGCGTGAAACATTGTAGCATCTCCTGATCCATTGCTGAGTTTAGCTTTGCTCAGGGACTGGCAAAGGTTAAGCTTGGGGGAACTTGTTGACGGTCACTAACATCAAGTATAAATCATCAACATAACATGTATTTATACTTAATTCTATTACCAAACATAGATATAAGGGTTTAAACTAATAAATTCCATAAGTTTTGGTGAATCTATGTTTTCAGCAGGGTTTATCTAGAAAACCATCAAGGAGGACCTATTCATCAAAGGAAATTATAGAATTCCACCGTGTAAACAGCGTGGGAAGATTCTAGAAGACTCTAGGAGGCTCTCCACCGAAGCAGACCCCAAGGGACTATCATGTGGGGCTGTCCGGCCCCACCTACAGGCCGCCCCGCCCTTGGGCCCACCTGTCAGCCTCTGCACCGTAATGTCGGTTCTCCACCGCCTCCTATGTTGCATCTACGCCGTCCTTTAAGTTGGTTTGATCTAAGGGCTCACGTTGGACGCTCCGGCTTATATATACCAGCCCCTGCCACCCTCCCTGGAGCCATCCTAAAACCCTAATTCATATTATGAAGATCAGAGCCAGCTATCAAGAGAAGATTAGTCTTCCATAGGATCTAGTTGTGTAAATAATAGTGAGATAGAGAGTGAGGGAAGAGTTTGGAGGAGGTGTCGGCCTGTCGGTGCTCTCTCTATGGCTTGTACCTTGACGGATCCAAGTTCTATTTGAGCTCGCCTTCGAGATATCTCTGGTAATCAACTTCTGATTCAAGTAAGTAATTATTTATATTGTTCATCAGGATCACGACTCTCTTTTGAGTGCTTTAATCTATATACGCTCTAGGTTAAAGAATTAATCGTAAGTGTAAGCGTAGTGCTTAGACTTAGATTAATCATGGATGCACCCTGTATTCCAAATGGTGGTAGATCGCGTGTGTGACATCAGTTCTATATAGCCTGTACTATATAGCTTCGTTGATCCTTTGTAGTCCACCTCCCGTCTGTAGGCGCAAGTAGAACGCGGTTACGAAGGAAAGCATCTTCTGCTGGTGTCTTCCCTAGTAATGTCCCCAGTTAAATAGTAAAAGACATATCTTACCCAAGTCAGAACTAGAGAACCTTAGTTTTTCTCTCTATGCTCCTATTTATCTCAACCTTATTGCTACCCTAGTTAAGTTAAATCATAGTTAGTCTCACACGTTTTCCTATAGATACGATACTTGGAATACTTCCATGTGAAAGCTACAGCGGTATCCGTGCACTCATGAATTTACCTGTGTGCGTTAAATATACCAACATCCGGTCACCCTGAGTTGGGCTGCTCTGTGAGCCCAACAGATTTTGATGGAGCCTCTATAAAAGGTCTTTGGCCGGCTCAAGCTCACTCTCTTGGCCATTTGCATTGACATAGCAACCTTGTGAGCTTAGCCAAAGCTCTTCCACTCATCTTCATCATAGATTCATCATCTTTGTGAGATTGGGAGTAAATCCAAGTGCATTGCTTGAGTGATTGCATCTAGAGGCACTTGGTGTTCGTGTTTCGCCATGGGATTCACTTGTTACTCTTGGTGGTTGCCGCCACCTAGACAACTTGGTGCAGCGAGAATCGTCGAGCGGAGGAAGGTGCTTGTCTTCGGCTCCGATTGTGGTGATTGTGAGGGGTTCTTGACATTTTTTCGGCGGAGAGCCAAAAGGTACTCTAGTGGATTGCTCGTGGCTTGTGTGATCCTCATCTTGTGTTGGTTGTGCGGCACCCTACTGAGAGTTTAGCGTGTGATGCCAATTAGCGCATGAATCTCCAAGTGAGTGAATCGTCACAATGAGGACTAGCTTACCGGCAAGCAAGTGAACCTTGGTAAAAAATCTTATGTCATCTTATCTGAGGATTTCTTAGTATTTATTGTGATTGATTGTAATTGATTGGCTCCATCATTGTGATTGGCTCAGTTCCTCTACACGACGATATAATCATCACATCCCCTACCTTGCATTTACATTTGTAGTATTGCTTCACTCTTTAGTGTAATTAGTTTTGAGAGCAAGCTTGTGTCGGGTCTAGTGGTTAGTGTGGCTCTTTAGTTAGTCTTTGAGAGCACACTAACTTAGTGTAGTGACATAGCCATTGTGTGCTTAGAGATCATAGACACTAGAATTGTGGTAGGTGGCTTGCTCTTTTAGTAGGCTAGCGCAACACTTGCTTCGCCGTTTAATTGTCTAACATATTTGCTAAGTGTTGTTGTAGAAATTTTGAATAGTATTCACCCCCCTCTAACCATTAGGACCTTTTAACACATGAAAAAAAATATCAAAGAGACAAATACAAAATCAAAGAACAATATGGAGCAAACACGCACCTACGTTCCAGGAGTAGCTTAACTACAAATAAGGATACTTCACAAACACACAAATCTGAATGAGTAGTCTGGGATCGATCATGCATAAATGGCAAAATGGAGTCAATGTCAGAAGGATTTAGGGCAACCAAGTTGACCTCAAATCGAATAGAGTCATAAGCATGACACAGGGCCTTTGAGGCAAGCAATGGCAGCACCAAAATGTAGTGTTAGGTGATTTTCATGAATCTTAAACCTTTTTTCTTTCTTCCTTGGAATGCCTTTCATTTGATCTGCAATGAAAGTTACATAAATTTCATAAATTATTTCTAGTGTAACTTTTTCTTTGCACTGGCAGACATTGGGGTTGCCATAGACAACACTAACCCAAATTTCTTGGTCACATCTACACCACTTCCTTAAATCTTCGGTGAAGTTAAATCAAATTGATGGAGCAGTGAGCCAAGAATCACATGTAGCATTCTGTTTGCAAGGTGCAGTCCAAGGCAAATGTGCTTTCCTGAACCAAAGGGATAAATTCGAAGTTCCTACCAAAGAAATCAATCTCCTTCTGCAAAAACCTCTCAGGGATGAATTTTTCTAGTTCAAACCAAGTCTGAGCATTATGATGTATCGCCCACACGTTCACTAGTACATTACTTCCTTTTGGGATAGTATATCCTTGTACTTCTCTCGTAGCCTCTGCCTTGTACAACATTAATGGTACAACTGAATGAAGTCGTAGTGTTTCTTTGACAACCGCTTGAAGATAAAAAAGTTTACCAATGTCTGAATCTTCAACCTGTGTTCTTGGGCCAAGAACTGATTTGAGTTCTTCTTGTGATTTTTTCATGATTTCTGGATTTTTGTAGCAGTTCTACCATGGCCCATTCGATTGTATTGGATGTTGTGTCACTGGTGCCACCAAACAAGTCCTGATATTTTTTAAAGCATGACAATGTATAAAATCACATGCTAATTAATAAAATAAATAGATTAGCAAAAAAATGCAAACGTGTTTGAAAATATTATTTTTCATATATAGGTGGCATGTTGCCTTGTATTTGCTACACATGCAAACCACTCTATACATAACCGCTCCTAAATAACAATGATGATTGATTTCTTTGAAAAAGAATATTTTTGCTATATATGTACTAAATGTCCTAATCCTCATCTTTGAAACCAAACACTTTACTTCAAAGAAATTGTTAAAGCACATCCATGGTCTGAAATGTTCTCGAAATCTCACCTAGGTCTATAAATTCTCAAAGTGAGGATCTACATCCTTAACCTTTTTAAGTGCTTCACTCCACGTGAAGATCTAGGTCCGCAATGGGACCTAGAGTAAACCTAGCGAACTGTTCAAAAAGTAAAGTGTCAAATCCTACTTTTGAGAGTTTTATGGCCTAGAAGGGAATCTAGAAAGTTTAAGGGCCTCATATCCATTTTACCCGACAAAAAGCAATGTAGAGATTTTGTCATGTATGGACTAATTAAGCAATAAACTAGTTGAATCGTGTTTCTTCATGCAATAATGTTTTGTAATAGTTAAATAAATAAATTTGGGAAAATAAATGCATTATTAACTATATTAAAAACTAATAATAAAGGACAATCGTGATATCGCTACTACTAACTGTTGGAAGAAGCAATAAAAGTGGATAGCACTAACATGTCTGCAGGTGGGTGGATGTTGAGAAGGAAACAATTAATATGGTGCTTTTCTGTATCGAATTTATTTATAGATACTATGTCTCTTCCCAACATTCTGTACCTTCAATATATCAAATGTATGCATGAGTAACTAATGCATAGTGTGTGAATGAATTTTCATCCAATTGGTGATCACTAAAAGAAATTTGTTCAGTAAGTGAATATAGAAGTAATTTATTTCCTACTATCCTCAAATTTCGTTATCAATATTGTATAAAATGTTGAAATGTTCTGATAAACAAGCATATAATATTGTAAAATTGATGTAATGCCTAAATTTTGTTCACTCATTCTTTATCGATGTGCATGAGTAATCTGATATTAATTTCCATTAAAGAACCGAAGGCCCTATCTTTCCTTCAGAGCCTTTTTTTTTTAATCTTTCCTTCAAAGCCTTGTTGTCCTTGTTGGATGCTAATAAAAAAATCAAGAAAATTCCTGCACCTATGTGAAGTCACAACTCTGGTTGAAAATGGATGCCAGTCTAGAATATAACTCCAATTAAATAGTTAAGGTTTGAATGTTATTTAAAGAAGTTTCACAAACTTATACATTATTTTGGAGAAACTATGCCACACTTTTATGAGCTAAGTGAATGAATATCATACATAACTTAACTACTTAAAGAAACTTTGGAAAACTACACATCATTTTTTCATATGATTAGTCAAATTACATTTATATTAAGGTTTCATATGACACTACTACATTTAAAAGCCTTAAAGCAAGTTTAGTTTTGGACAATAAGTGTGTAGTTTCACAATATCAAATTGCAAAAACAAAAGAGAGAGAGTTATATTGGTTCTTGAAAGTTTAGTTTTGTGACATATTATTAGAAGTGTTGTTAGGTTTAGTCCCACATCAGAAATTAATGCCGTTTGTTGTAGGTTTCGGTGGACCTGGGCTTGGTTGTGGTGCCAGCTTGTGGGATATAGGAGCTGCACGAGATCTACTGCATGCTTTAACAAGCGGTGTCGAAGCTCATGGTCAGAAAATCTAGAACAGAACATCACCAAGTCACATGGTAACAGAGGAGCCCGTGAATGTCTCGGTAGAGCCGCACGGGGCCTAGGATAATGTCTTTTGGAGATCACACGGGGTGTGTGTGCATTTGATGCAAATTGAGTAGGGCTCCATGGTGTGGCGCCATCTCGTAAGTATAGTGAGCGAGTCAGATCTACTGTACACTCTAACAAGTGCAACTTTGACGGTTTCCCCGATTAGATTATATATAGTTTTGTGAAATAATTTGTTGTCATTTCAGAATGATCATCAACATTTGAAAACTAGCTCATAAATAAAATCTTGAGGTGTGCTATATATTGCATAGAACAATTAATATGTTGTCGTGCACATCCTTCTATGTCCGATAAACAAATAGATAGAAAAATATATATACCGCAAGTATAGACCGTAAGTGAGAGTACTTCGGCGCTTACCGTGAAAAAATGCTCTCATCATAGCTCGGTTGACGGTTACTCCGCTGCCAACCTCTTGACTTTCAGACATATCAAGCATCACGTCTAGCAGGTCATTGGCACGATCAGGAGCACCGCCGACTCCACGCTCATGCAACCGCTGCTCGATCTGGCAGTCCATCACCTGATACGACCTCGCAATCAGTCTCGACATCCGTCGCCGTAAGCCCTGGATGTCGGCCGCGGCGACCGCCGGGAACAAGTCGGAAACGTTGGGCGCCGTGAACAGCACTATGGCTTCCCGCACGCTGTCGTGGATCTCCTGGGACGTCGCCGCGTCGAGCTCGGAGGAGAACATGGCCCGCCCCAGCAGCCTCACCATGGCAGCGAAGGTGACGCACCCAACGCTCACCGGGGCGCCAGACGCTGCTGCCTGCTTGGACACGTCGCGGAGGAGGTCGCAGACCACGTCCCGCCGCAGCGGCTCCTGCTCATCAAGACGACTCGGTGACAGCAGCTGCGCCATGCCGAGCCTGTGCAGCGTGCGCCACTTTTGGTCGCACGGCTGGAGGACGAATCGCACGCCAGTTGTCCGGTGGTGCGCTGCGGCCGGAAAGGCTGGCGCGGTGGGTTTGTAGGATCTCGTGAGCGGTGGACGGCAAGGAGGCGACGATGACAAGGTTGGTGCCGAGCCGGACCGTCATCAGCGGCCCGTAGCGCTCGGCGAGGCACGCCAAGGAGCGGTGCGGGAGCTTGCTCATCGCGAGGAGGTTGCCTATGACTGGCAATGGACATGGTCCTGGTGGAAGATTGCGATAAGCATCCGTTAGCAACCTGTAGCTGGACTGTAGAGAATAGAGGGGAATTAGAAGAACAGCAGTACGAGCTCAGGGAATTGGGAGGAAGATGAACAGTGGAGAGAGAGGACTCGAGAGGAAGGAAACCTATTTGTATTATGTTGTTTGATGATCTTTCCAGCTAGTGCTCCTGCGCTCTTCTAGGTGACGGCCTGTGGTCCAGGTCAATTCTTGACATCCAGGCCAATGCTCGACTATGCCAAGGCCAAGGCCCATTACCCATATGACGGCCTATCCATGAGTAATCCCTGACATTCCCCCCTTCTTAAGCTTCGGCTTGCCCCCAAGCCGATGGAGAAGATCGGAACCACTAGGATCCCAAGGAAACTGGACGATCATGTGTTTCTTCAATTCCTTCTTGGAAAGTTGTCTTCCAGTGAAGGGCAGGCCTGGTGCAGTGGCGAGAGCTGTCCCACTGAGTCACCAAGTCGTGGGTTCGAAGCAGCCTCTCCGTAGATTTTGCGGGGGAAAGCTTGCCTCGGTTTTTCCCTTCCCCAGACCCCACTCATGTGGGAGCCTCTGGCACTGGGTCTGCCCTTTAAAGTTGTCTTCCAGTATCTTTGGGTAGGGCATGTGGAGCTACAACATGCGTCACAGTTGGTTCAGACTTTGCCAACTTGGCAGATGGTATAGCAAGAATGATCGCAGCAAGGCTCTTAGCAACACGATAGAATCCTTTCATCATCTGACTAGAGCTTACTAAACATTTTGCAGATGCGTCCTTTAGAAGTTTGGTAATGAGAGCTTCCGCAGCTGGACTATGCATGTTCTTCCTGTTGTAGTCCTTTGCTTTCATACTAATGAACAGTGGAGTACCAAAAAGATCATGATACAAACACTCGACAACTCTGCTCATGTGTATGTTCCAAATCAAGCAGCCAAGCCCCACCTCCTTTTCAAAAGTTACAGGCCAGTACAAGCTGAATAATGCCAGAATGCACTGCAAGTTCCGGTACCCATAGACAGAAGCAATAGCCAAAAAGAGAACCCATGGAATTCCATGGCCCGATGATCGATCAACCAACTCCCATATTCTCACCGGAGTCCCATCGATCAATTTTACTATGATGAGTTCAGTAGCACGAAGAAGACGAGGAACATGTTCAGAAGATTGATCGACTGGTTTCAATGTTGTCATCATCGTGACATGAACAGAAATCTCATTCCAGGGCTTGAATCCTTGCCCTGCCACTACTTTAGTTTGGTAGGAATAGAACAATTTCCTTGTTACTGCTCCCAGATCACCACCACCACTGATTAGCCGTCGAACTGAAGGTAAGCATTGGGGCGTCCAAGTCCATGGGGGCTTCCAAGGAAAACAGAAATACCAAATCATCCAATAACCATCAACCATACTGAAGAACAACCAAGGCAGCAGAGTCAAAATATGCATGTCGCTCAATAGCAGAAGTAGCAGAGGTGGAGGCCCCGGTTGACGCTGGAAAAGCACAGACATTCAAAAGCTTCACCAATATCCCTTAGCCGATTACCTTCAAGCAAGAAACACCAATACTTGCCACCACACTTCCGCTGTACTAGATCTGGAATCAGTGCATAGCCAACCATACTCACTGATAGCACCAATATACATGTCAGAAGCTCCTTGTTGAACTTGTCTACTTGCCCTGCAGGTTTGAGTAATTCATGGCAATGCTGCCCACATTGGACCACACGCTCAATAATTTTCCATTTAAAATACTTGTGTGGTAAAGATGGCTCTGTGAGCTGCCAAAATTGACTGAAACACAACTGATGAGTATTCAACAAGAGCCCCTCTAATACTGTGTTACTGACACTCAACTCAAACACCCCCAAAAAATCAGCTGCGCATGTGGAATGTTGTATTGCCTTACCAAACAGTTGGAACCAGGTACTTTCTGTAACAGGGGCAAGCAGTATACTAGCACCATTATGTAAGAGAAAATTCATGTTACGTACAGTCCCACAAACACATGCAGGTAGTCGCCAATGGACCTTGAACCAGATACAGTCCCAGTTCATCACCAGCATCCTGACTCTTCTAGCTATAATGAGATGCAAACGAAAGAGAGGTCCCGCAACTGTGCACTCTGAATTGTAGCAAAGCCACTTGATAAGGTCTGCCACTTGAACTGTATTTCCAATGAAAGATGGCCAGGGTGTTGGCCTAAGTTGAACTCCATTGCCCTGCGTCCCAAACTGCTCCGGTGGCGGCCATGGTTGCTTATGCGGCACTGCATCCCAGCTACGACAGGATGGAGGCGAGAAACAGCTCTGTATGCTCTTGTCAACCAAGGATTGAGCTGAGGGTACAGTCAGTACATAGCATGTTTGACATATGCATGGGATGTGGCCACAGTATCTCTAAAATATGCTTAGCCATTTCCTCAAACACCTCAGGGGCCTCTTGAATGACAGAGACAGGCCCAAACGCAGCAACTCCATTGGAGTGAGGAGGGTAGACGCTAGTGTTGTACCTTCTCGGCATTTTGTCAAACACCACTTGCGCTTGAATGGAGATGGAAGCAGGCCTAAATGTAGTTGGCATGGTGGGGTCGATGCAGGTGGCGACACGGACGGAGAGCTCGGACGGGAACGTGTTGGCGTACTCGAAGGAGATGGTCTCACCGCCGAGCAATGGCTGACCGTCGTTGTGGAGGCAGTCGTCATGGCCCCTGTAGACGGCGATGTCCTCCACGGCTGCACACCCCTCGTCCATCCGGCTTTGCCATATCGGGCCCCCTGTTCCTCCACCGCCTCCAGCGACTCCTGGCGAGCAGAGGATCTGGCGGGGCAGTGGCGCTGGCACGGGCACGAGCACGGGCACGGCGGCGGCGACGGTGCGGAGTGCCGGGTGTAGTGGGCCCGCTGGAACGGCAGACAGTGGGCGGCGGAAGGCGCGGGCACGGTGGCGACCGAAATGGCCGCGGATGGTGCGGGCGTGGGCGCGATCGACGCGTTGTGCTCGGCAAAGAGCCTGCGCATCTCGCCGAGGACAAGCTTGGTAGAAGGATCCATGGGGGAGGACCAAAATCGACGGCTCTAGTACCAGATGTTAGCAACCTGTAGCTGGATTGTAGAGAATAGAGGGGAATTAGAAGAACAGCAGTAGGAGCTCAGGGATTTGGGAGGAAGATGAACAGTGGAGAGAGAGAGGAAGGAAACCTGTTTGTATTTTGTTGTTTGATGATCTTTCCAGCTGGTGCTCCTGCGCTCTTGTAGGTGACGGCCTGTGGTCCACGCCAATGCTTGACATCCAGGCCAATGCTCGACTATGCCAAGGCCAAGGCCCATTACCATATGATGGCCCATTCATGAGTAATCCCTGACAGCGTCGATTACCAGCTGCATAATGGAGGTTGTGAGGACAGCGAGGAGTAGAGAGCACAAAGAAGGCCATCATCCGATCGATCGATGATCTTTGCTAGGTGTATGTTGCGCTTCGATGTTCTGATCGGGATGCATGATGATACTCTCTCTATATATAGGCATAGGCATATATTGGTGTATGGGCTATATATATTGGCCGATATATGAAATGGACAGCAAAGACGTTGTCCAATACAAGTGGCTTCTCTTTGCAAGGATGATACGATATTAGAGCCGTTGATCTCTTAGAGCCGCTTTAGAATCTCTCTAAAACTTTCGGCCTTCTGAACATTCATCCTAGATCCGTCGTGGCCTAACAGGTCGGTCCCTATATGCTCCTCGCCAAGAGCTCCATCAAACGTGCTCTCATAGAGTGTTTTCGCCCCACGGAGCTAAAAGAAAGTAGCTCCCACCGGTTCCTCCATACTGGCCCACAATTGAAAGTATATTTTTGCCCTTTAGTTGACTAAAAATTACAAAGAGTTACCACCATCTCCCTCAACTCTGGTTTATCCCGTCTTTTGTTAACATGACCCTATTTATTTAGATGGGCCATGACTAAGCTATATAAACAAGCCACTAAATATTACTTAACAGCAATTCATATTATTTTTAAATTTTAAGTGCACTCAAGTATAAAAACATCTGCAAACATATAATTCAATTGTTCCAGCAAATGAGATACATAGGTGCATTTTGGACATTTATCCTCTCTTAGCTATTCATCACAAGACAAGTGAAGTTGTTTAGCCAAACGTTTTTTTTTCAAAACAGCTTCAACTCCACTAGAAAATCTGCTCCATCACAAAAGCCACAGCTAAAGCTCCACCAAACGAGCCCTTAATCTGAGCTCTATGAGGAGCTCACTAGACCAGGCCTAAGCTATAGTTTTGTTTGGTGCAGCTCCTCGCTGCTCCGGCCTCCCGCTGCATAACTACTAAAGCACTACTGTAGCATGAGGGAGCCAAAACCAGTGGAGCTGAAATTGTTGGTTCGCCTCTCGCATGGTTCATTTTTCGTCTAGGTACAATAGTAAACAGTTCTAGTACAGTGTTGAAGGAGGAGCCGGAGCCACCGGAAGCTATACGAAACAGGACCTACTACAAACACGAGCTATTCGGTGAGAGACCATTATGGGAACTGGGCTTCGACGGAATGCCATCCCGCAACGGGGTTTCGTCAGGATGCCATTATCAAGTGCGACACAACCGCTAGAACGCCATCCGAGGGAATTTGGAGCCTTTTATTCCCCTTCTACCCCTCCCTTCTCAAACCAGATCAGCTGGCAGCAGCAATGTATGTCACCAGGGTGTTACTAGTCTGCCACTCATTGTTCTGGCTGCTGCTCCTTCCGGCGGTCGTCCTCGGTGCCGCCGCGGAGACGATGCAGACCTACATTGTGCAGCTGCACCCGCACGACGAGGGCGACAGCGGCGTGGCCATGCTCTCCGCCCCAAGTCAAGGTCGTGGCACCTCTCCTTCTCGAGAGGTCCGTGGCGTGGGAGCAGGAGAAGCGCCCTCCTCGCGCCTCCTCTACTCCTACCACACCGTGTTCGGCGGCCATGGCGCAGCTTCAGCGGACGGCGGCGCATGCGCACGGCGCGCTCCGGGCGTCGCGTCGGTGCGGCACGCCGACCGGCGTGGTGGAGCTCCACACCACCTACTGCACCGCTTCGGGGCTCAAACCGCCCCCATCGGCGCGTGGGCGCGGTCCGGCACGCCACGGCACCACGGCATCACGGGCCGCGCCGATAAAGGCGAAGCGCAAAAAAGAAGCGGCGCAGCGCAGCCATGGTGCTCGCCAACTCCGAGATAAACCGGTAGGAGGACTCCATCGACGCCCACGCCCCGCTAGCGACGCTCATCGGGTACCGAAGCCGTGGAGTGAAGAAATACATCGATCGACGCCGCCGCCGATGGCGAGGATAGTCTTCGGCGGCGACGCGCGCATCCGGCGGTGGCCGTGTTCTCCGCCGCGTGGGCCGAGCTCGACGAACCCGTCGGTCTTTGAAGCTCGACGTGGTCGCGCCCTGTGGTGAACATCATCGCGGCGTGGCTCGGGAACTGGGCCCGTCGGGCCGGAGAGCGACGCCCATTGGTCCAACTTCACCGTGCTCGGGGACATCGATGGCGGCGCGCCACGTGAGCGGCATCGCGGCGCCGATCCCGTCCGTGCACCCATCCTCGAAGCCCAGCCGATGGTCGGTCCGCGATCATGACCACGGCCGAGATAACCGACCAGCAGGGAAGGCGATCATGGACGGCGGAGGCGGCGGCGGGCGCGGCGGCGTGTTCGCCTTATGGGCACGGGCACGTGAGCCGCGCGCGCGCCGTCGACCCGGGCCTCGATATCGACATCCACCCGCCGACCACGTGTGATTTTTTGCACGCCGGATACACCCACCTGGAGATCTTCGAGATCACCCACACCGGGGTCAACTGCAGCGGTGGCGCTCAGGAACGGCGCCAGGAACGGCGGTGCTGCGGCCACCATGCCTGGTGCTCCCAATCGCGACCGTGAAAGGAAAAGAGAGAAGGGAGGGGTAGAAGGGGAATAAAAGGCTTCAAATTCCCTCGGATGGCATTTTAGCGGTTGTGTCGCACTTGATAATGGTATCCTGGCGAAGCCCCGTTGCGGGATGGCATTCCGTCGAAGCCTACTTTCCATAATGGTTTCTCACCGAATAGCCCTACAAACACAGGCGCGGCCTTGCCGCGCCATACTGGATCTGGCCGGTTCATTTCATGTAGCGCATGTTATGGCATCACTTCATTAAAAACAATCTATTTATATGCCAACATATAGTTTGGAGTATAACTAAGGCCCCGTTCGCTTCGTTGAAAAAACAAGCCTTAACACTGTTCCGGCTGATTTGTTGTAAGGGAAAAATATTGTTCCGGCTGAAAAAACAAGCTGAAAAATACGGATTATAAGACAAGCGAATAGGGCCTAAGCAGAGGCTGCGACGTATAATAATGTCAGTTTTTATATTCAAAATATGACTAACCTTATAGTCACAACTTTTTGTTTGCAAAACATATTAAATAGATACTAAGGATAATGTGATTTAGTTCTGCTGAAATGATAGATACCATGAATTTCAGCAAAAGTGATTGTAATTCAAGTGCTTTAGAATACTTGCGCTTATCACATTGAAATTAAACGTGTTCCGCAAAGATTCCTATCATTGAAATTAAACTTGTTCTTCTGCAAAGAATTCAGATAATAGTTTTTTTTGGAATGAAATTAAACTCCGCCTATGTTGTCTCAATATAGCAGGTCCCAAGCTCTAGTAAAGGAGGAGGGTTGTGATAGACGTGGCGAGCCAACGTTAAATCTAGCCATTTTAATGGAGAATACCAAGGAATGTTACGTGGTGTGCTTTGGACAAACATAAAGTCCCAACAAAGTACGTCGGGCTCATTAAAGACATGTACAATAATGTTGTGACTAGTATTCGAACAAGTGACAGAGACACGGATGACTTCTCGATTAGGATAGGACTACATCAAGAGTCAGCTTTGAGCCCTTATCTGTTTGCCTTAGTGATGGATGAGGTCACAAAGGACATACAAGGAGGCATCCCTTGGTGTATGCTTTTCGCGGATGATGTAGTGCTAGTTGATGAAAGTCGGTCAGGAGTGAATCAGAAACTGGAGTTATGGCGGGAGACTTTGGAGTCCAAAGGTTTTAAACTCAGTAGAACTAAAACCGAGTATATGAGATGTGACTTCGACACTACTACTCGGGAGGAGGAAAATATTAGTTTGCAAGGTCAAGTAGTGCCTAGGAAAGATATCTTTCGATATTTATGATCAATGCTACAGAGAGACGGAGATATTGATGAAGATGTTAGCCATAGAATCAAAGCAGGGTGGATGAAGTGGCGCCAAGCATCTGGTGTCCTATGTGATAAAAGGGTACCACAAAATTTAAAAGGCAAGTTTTATAGGACGACGATTAGACCTGCTATGTTGTTTGTTGCAGAATATTGGCCTACGAAAAGATGACATGTTCAACAGATAAGTGTCGCGGAAATACATATGTTGTGTTGGATTTGCAGTCATACAAGAAGGGATCGAGTTCGGAACGATGATATACGTGATAGATTAGGGGTAGCACCAATTAAAGAAAAGCTTGTCCAACACCGGTTGGGATGGTTTGAACATGTCCAACGGAGACCTCTAGAGGCACCGGTGCGTGGTGGAATCCTAAGCCAGGATAGTAACATGAAGAGAGGCAGAGGAAGACCGAAGTTGACTTGGGTAGAGGCAATAAAAGAAGACTTGAAATGATGAAATATACCCAAAGACTTAGGTCATGTTCGCTTGTCTTATAATCTATATTTTTTAGCTTATTTTTTTCAGCTGGAACAACGTTTTTCTCTCATGACAAATCAGCCAGAACAGTGTTTCGGCTTGTTTTTTCAGCGAAGCGAACGGGGCCTTAGCCTTAGATAGGAGTGCTTGGAAAACATATATTCACATGTCTGAACCTTGATTGCTTCTGCTAGGTTTCAACTCTAGCCTACCTTAACTTGTTTGGGACTTAAAGGCTTTGTTGTTGTAGTAGTAGTTGTTGGAATGCAAATGAGTGTCAAAACATTAGTACAGTTGAGGTTACCTATTCATTTTTTACACACTCAAATCTAGCTAGTTAAAACACGACTCTGCTAACCACAGGATGTTGCTACATGGCTCAGCCCTGAATTATGGTTCTTCAGTCTCAAACATATTGCAGGAAGCCAGGAATACATAGAACATGCAACTTTTTCAAGAAAAAATGGTAAAAAGTAGGAGCAATATAGGGAAGAAATACAATGCAATCTATCTGGAAATTTCAGTACCGCCATGTTCCCATTTTCTTTGATAGTCATCACTTGGAGATGATCATCAGAACATCAGAAGAAATTTTTCTTATGTTCCACATCTTTGTTTGCCATACTAACTTAGCTACATGCTAATATTTTTTGCTGCAGTCGTTCTCTAAGCAAAGATTTAATTTTAACATATCCAGCATTGCTGCGGCGTTTGGATGACTCAGTGTGATCATTCCCGTGCTGTTTCGGTCTATGGCCCGAAATGTACACATGTATGAGGCAAAAAGGTTCTCTCTGACCACTAATGCCACCGGGTATCATGTTATCAAGAAAATTTTGATTAGCATGCTTGTTATTACAATAATTATTGAAAGAATACAAAGAAGGGTACCTTTGTCTCACCAGCCCAGCCTGACGGTGAATACATCTGAAGTGTGTTGCCCAGTTTGCACACACCACGTTGAAGCAAACCGGCCCATGGATCTTTGTCTGATGATATTAATGTTATTAACGGAAAGGAAAATTTTGCCTATGCTACTTCATGCAGTATCGTTAGCCGTTCTAGCTATTCACATATCTGATTGTACAACTATCCCTAGTTTTCAGTTCTATTTTTTAGCTATATATAGTGCTAATTTGAATATGAAACTTTGACAATTGCTATATATTCAAACATACAGTTATTCAGACTTTTTACAAATCATTGTATTTTTGTATGGATGGTGTAGTTAGAGATAGCTGAGACTTAAGACGACGGCATGAAATATATAAAGATGAAACCATGCTTGAAGATATACTTATTTCAGCATGCAAGTATTGGGTTTAACCTATAGTAAAGGCCAGGTGGTTAGATGAGTCATTCATACTCCATCAAATAGTTATCTTTTTAGTTCTCAGAACAACTAAAAATTTAAGATATAAATAATTAAAAAAAATGAATCCAGCTTGCAAGATTGCAGAGTAGTTTTGCCTTGCCTAAATGGTAACTTATGACTTATGAGCATCATAAAACTTAATAAACAGATCTCACCTATGATCCAATAAGCAACGTACTCTGCTGTAATTTATAACCCTTATTTATGTTACGAGCTCATTGATTACTCCTAAATGGGAAGTATTAGTAACATCATTAGATCACTAAAATGGATATGTAATCAGCTTAGCTTTCTCTCCCCAATCGAACAAAGTTGGGAAGTATGGTGTACAGCATAATGGAGGAGGTGCATTTACACCTGAAAAAAGAACGAAAAATAAGATGGTGAGCAGACCATTTCTGGATTGAGGAACGAGACACTATGAGAAGCGGTGCATGGTGCGTGAAGAGACTGTCTGCATCAGCTTCTATAGAACCTCGATGTCCAGCCGCATCCGCTTGGCTGATAGTCACCGTCCCATCAATTGCACTGAAATCACTGAACTCATGTCAATCTTTGTACAACTGATAGACATGGGGACTATATAGAACAGCAACCAAATATTGAAAGGGGGAAAAAAAGAAGAAGAGAAAAAGACGCATACATTGTGCCCATTTCACCGAACACGTCGAGGACATCATCCACGAAAGCATCGACGCCGGCAATGAGGTCGACAGTAGCCGACAATGGGGAGCACACGGGAGCAAGAGCAGACACAGAGGATGGAGATGCCGTTGCTATCGGATTTCAGCGTTTGGTGATCCTTTCCACGTGACGCAGGCGGGATGCGCGAGAAGCCTGCCCTCCAGCACCGAGAGCGGGGGCGTCCGCGGCGCAACGTCCGCGGGAGGAGTCAGCGACTGCTAGACGTGGTCGGAGCTTGGGGATGAGGCCGGCAGTGGTGCGGCGGGACTGCTGGAATCGGAGAGGCAGCGGTCGTCGAGGTTGGCCCAAGTGGAAGGCTAGCGGGAAGAGGTGGTGGACTGGTGGAGGTACGCCTCCATCTCCATCTTGCTGGATAACTGCAGTCCGCCGTCCGCAGCAGTCTTTAAGCTCCGCCGCCGCCAGCAGGCGTCGGGAGG